GTGGGGGGTCAGGAGAGGTCTGCCACGCCATGTGGTCACCTCCGGGGCGGGTGGGGTTCGAACTCATGCGGAAGTGGCCTCAGCTTCTCAGTGCTGTGCTTTAACCCACTGCACCACTAGGGAGGGCCTCATTTCCTTATTTTTAAGAGATGAGCTTAACACTTTTATCTATTGACCAGTTTTACTCCCCAAAGCAGAAATAAACTAAAATATTAAGTCAGTATTTTTCACTAGTAAACTTAGTAATGATAATAGTGTTCAAAACAGGCCCTCTCAGGATTTTCAGAATAGACCTCTCTAAGATGTGCTGACTCTGGCACAAGGATTATTTCAAGCTGAGATCAACTATTTCAAGCTGAGGCCATAAAGTCCAAATAAATTCTATCCGTCTCTTAATTACCTAGAGAATGACTACTAAGGTCTTATCCAGAATTGGTGTTAATACAAGAAATAACTTTTCTATATGAAAAATCTATATGGCAAGGAATTATCTGATGCAGAATGTTTGCTCTGTCATGTGAATCCTCTCATCCTCATGTGTGATCCCTTCTCTTTCTCTGACACCAGGAGATTATCTTACTGCTTAGCTCAGGGTAAACACCTCAATTTACCTATCCTTCCTTGTAATGTCTATGTGGATGCTCAGTATGTATGAAATTAAATAGATTTTACCTTCCTACTAATTTGTCTGATATTAACTTGATCACTTGACCAATCTAAAAATAACCCAGAGGGGTAGGGCCAAATTTACCTTCTATTCCCACAACAAACATGGCCAGTATCTTTATAAAAAAGTATAAAAGTTTATTTTAAAATAAATTATATAAAAATCTCATACACATTTATACATAAAAATTAGTTTGACTCCGTGACTGTAAACAGTAATCACTTCAAACACAGAATTAAACCAGTTCTTACCTGACTATCCCCAAGGAATTTACAAGCAAATGCCACTCTGTCACGTACAGCAACTTTATTTTCATACTGAAGAAAAAGAGACCAAAGTTATTTGTAGGTGCTATAAGATCTTAATTTTTGAAGACTCAATATTTTATATAACTAACATGGAAGTTTTATTTTCAAATGTATTAATAGTTTATTGTGTATAATAATATAATAATGGTATTGACTGATCACCTAAGACACCTTTTTTAATGTAACTCTCAGGAAACTCAGTGCTAAAATGATTATCTTTATCTCTTAAATAATTTTTACAAAGTTCCAGTCAGTCTTATATAAGTCCAACATAAAAGTATAAGATGTACAGTTTATTAAATTTAAGACATTATGCAATTCTTTCATCATACAAACTAATTTTGGGGAACATGAGGAACTCTTTTAGTTGCTAAGTTAGTTTACGAATAAGTCTAGAAAATCTATAAATGACCAGTGAATATACCACTATGGATATCTAGTACAGAATTTAGACAGACTATCAATACATGTTTTAAACACAAAATGTTAAAATGTAAAACAAACCTTATAAATCTACACACTGACACTGATTTCCCTGTTTAGTATTTTTCACTAATTACTGTAAAGAGTACCATTAATTATAATTATATACACAGTATAATTCAGTCTACTCTTGAAACAGCTTTAAAATATAAACTTCCTATTCAGAACACCCCTTATGTAACAGTCCAAAATGAGGCATATTAAAAAAAGGGCATTTATAACAGGTCACTAATTTAAAATACAGAAATGTAGTATTTAAATAATATACTCCCCATATGCCCTTCGATAGCTCAGATGGTAGAGCGGAGGACTGTAGACCAGACTTGCATAAATAATATACTTCCCTATCAATTTAAAATTTGATCACTTCTAGTTTTCATTTTCTACAACTTCCCAAATGTGATCATTTTTTTTCAAGATGAAACATTTAAAGTTCTGCTTAACAAAGAAGAGCAATGATAGCAAAAATGATTTTTAAAAAATGCATTCTTAGATATTAATTTGAAGTGTCTGCAAAAATTCAAAAGTAATTTATTAAAAGTAATGGATATGAATAAACTAATAAATTGCCAAAACAGACACTAATAACATTAAAGATGTCATTGAACTATCTCAGTAAAATATATGATTTTACTGACATTTATTTTCAAATGTATTAATAGTTTATTGTGTATAATAATATAATAATGGTATTAGGAACTGACATTTAAATCAACTGTCCAGTGACTGTATATTTTAAAGATATGGCAAACATAGAAATAAGTTCCATGTTAGGAAGCCCTTTTCATTATCAAAAAGGAGCCAAAATATAATGTAAAATTGTGAAGCTGATAAGCAAATACCACATCATTTTATTTTCTTTCCTTAATCTGTAATGAAGCATGTATTTGGTGATATGATTACAGAAGATTAAAGGGAGAAAAAAATAATAATGAAAAGAACAAATAATGAAAAAATTAAATAGTTCACTACATGTATTTTATCAGATACTCAATCTTCCAAACTGGAACATGTCTAAAACAGACAAATGCTAACTCAGGCAATACAGATGGTCACCCTAACCATAGCTGACCGTGTGTTTGTTGACTTAGCCAAAACAACACACACAAAAAAATACACACATGTGCACACACACACACTTTTCTTACATATAGGATAAAATCTTATTTTCCCCCATGTCTGTATATTATATGAATAAAAATTTTTAAAAATAGAGCTCATTTTTCTTATTAGCTAACAATTTCTAGGTTGGGAATTACAGTCAAGAAGAGCTATTCAAAAAAAGTTTGAGGTATTTTATTCTGAATAGTACACATGAAAATACACTATTTTATGTTGCAGACATTTGAGCATTTTAACAAAGTTAGGTAAAAAACCATATTTATAAGGAAAGTCCTGTGAGACAGAAATGAGCTTACCAAAACTCCATCATAAGATCCTGTTTCGCTTGTCAGAAATGCAAACATGACACATAGATAGGGATTGTTCAGCTGTAACCGTAGAGTGCTGCACATTTCTCTCCAGAGGGAGTTCTTCTCATCTGTATAACCTGATAAAGCCATTGCTACCACATTGAGATTCAGATCACCTGCATATTAAAAACGATCAGTTGATCAATGTGATCAAAAGCTTAGCATCTTCTTCCACAGTTCCTAAACTGATCAGATCTGATAAAGATCAGAAAATGAGTGTTATCCCAAAATAATCCACAGCCAAAAGGTTATGATTCAGCCTGGAAAATTTGGCAGGGACCACAAACAATAATCCTCATTCTCATGAAACTTTTACCCATACTGCAAACCCTTTACAGGACTAACACATATTGTAATTTTTAGGTTCTCATTCTAAGCAGGTTCCTATATAGTATGGTACCAGATCGAAAGGAAGCAAATTCTACCAGAACACTGCCAATTTTTTTTTTTAAAGATTTATTTAGGGCCCTCCCTGGTGGCGCAGTGGGTTAAAGCACTGCACTAAGAAGCTTAAGCCACTTCCGCATGAGTTTGCTCCCCTGCCCCGGAGGAGATCCACATGGCGTGGCAGACCTCTCCTGACCCGCCCGCTGCTCCCCTCAGCAGTGTGCTTCATCATTCTGCCTGTTCTGCTTCCCACTCTGTCTCTGGTGAATCCTCTCACCCTCCGCATCTCTGGCCTGTACCCCGTTCTGTATAAATAAATCTTTAAAAAAAAAAAAAGATTTATTTATTTGCGCATACAGAACTGGGGTAACAGGCCAGAGGCTCAGGGGCGGTGAGAAGCTTCACCAGAGACAGAGTGGGGAGCAGACAGGCAGATCTACGAAGTACACTGCTGAGGAGAGCTGCGGGCGGGTCAGGAGAGGTCTGCCACGCCATGTGGTCACCTCCGGGGCAGGCGGGAATTGAACTCATGCGGAAGTGGCTTGAACTCATGCGGAAGTGGCTTTAGTTTCTCAGTGCTGTGCTTTAACCCACTGCGCCACCAGGGAGGGCCCTCACACTGCCAATTTTAAGAACAAGTTAATTTATATCGAAATATTTCAAAGCATTGACAGTAAATGCTACTAGTAACCCAGAACAGTACTTTTCAGCATCATTTTGTGTTCTTATTCATAAAGAGTAAGATTTCACTGCAAAGTACTGAATGCATTATTTTAGCATTCTTATTATAATATAGTTTTTACTTTAGGACAAAATAAACTATCAAAATTACTACAGAATTGTAGTTAGATGTAAGTGAAACAAAGCATTGTGTTTAAGCATTTCTCCTTACCTGCTGGTAGCTGCTAGCCTGACATTACTGTGGCTATCTAACCTTCTAACATACCTTGAGGTTGAAAAGATAAAACTAAATTCATGTTTGACTTTTAACTGCTTTCTCTATTTTATTATAGAAGTTCTCTTGCTCTGTTTCTTGATCAGAATCATTTTGTTTCCGTTTCTGTTTTAATAGCCTCGTCATTCCTCAAGTTACTTTGTATTTTCTTTCTCTGCATACTGGATTAAATTAGATTTCAAGTCATTTAAGATTAAACAAGAACAAAGGAGTATTTTCTTTAAATTACGCTTAGAACAATTTATTACCAAATGGAAAAGAATATTTGAGTTGGAGTAACATTTTCTTCAGTTCTTAACCAAATTACTGAAAGGACTGGAAAAATATTTTTCCACAATTGTGAACATGACAGGAAAATATCATACACTAAGGTTACAGCAAAATTATAATTAAACTGACTTTAAATACCAATTCTTTTTTCACCACCATGTATTTTCTACTGCACTTTAAGAAGAAAATTCAGAGCAAAAGTAAAGAGAAGCAGCCAATTTGGGCAAAATATTTGCTTTTCAAACTTTATACCACAAATTAATTTCATATTTTCTCTATGATACAACAGAATCATAATAATTTCAAAATGGAGAATTAATTATTCTGAATACTCAAATAATTTGCTAGGCATATTAAAAATTTAATTATCTAGACCATATGCATTGTCAATTGAAATATTCCTGGTAAGGAAAAATACATTTGTTTATCATTTCATTATTTATTCTTTTTTAATAAAATAAATTAATTGGAAACTAAGGTTAAATCATCAAAATCAAGCAGATGCATTTCTGCAGATCAATGAATGATTTATTCAGAGATCCATAAAAGTGAATAAATAGTAATGAAAAAGTATAAATAAAATACACTCAAATATCATCAAAATGCTTGCAAACTGAAGTAATCATAATCTCTAAGAAAACAACATTTTAAAATGTAAATGAGCAACTTTGAAGAAGATGTAGTGAAAATGAAAATGCGTATTTCTTATAATAATATGAAAATAACAGGCAGGTTTTCTTTTTTACAGGTATAAACTGGCATAATCAAAAGAAATATTGGAATGTATTAATAAAGGAATGTACGGATATTTGTATATAGATAAAATTTGCTAATTTTCCTTTTAAAAAAATTATACAAAAATACTGATCAGATTTTTTTTAAATTAGCATCCTCTTTCTTTAAAGGAATTTATGAACTGGCATGCCAGTGTATTAGAGTATCAGCTAATACCTTTTTCTGAAGACGCCCCTTCATTTAAGATTTGGATTGCTCGTCGAATATCCAAGTTGAACAAGGCCACAGCAGCAGCTCTCTCCCACTCTCCTTCTTGTACAAGGGAATTCAAAAATGGCCCCACATCTATATCTGTTCCTTTTTTTATCCACCCACAAAGCTGTAAAGCTAAAATTCTCTCTTCATTTAAATTCTGAATATCAGTTTGCTTATCTAACCCACTCCAGTTATGTCTGCTGGTTTCCACCATTCCTAAAAAGAAAAACATTTTTATATTAACTGTTTATTGCTGTTTGAAATATATTTGGAAGTCAATTTTACAGAAAATTATTTCAACACCAGGGTAATATTTAACTTTTTACCCATAATTAAGATAGTATAAGTATAAAATATGCCACAAATAAAACAGGTTTTACATACTATGAAGTACAACAGTTTCTTAAGTTATTATACATCTTACCATATTGAAATAAGAGTGAATGGTTAATGGACTGAGTCACTGCTGCAGAGAAGTCTCTTTGACCAACTAATCTAAAATAAGGTGCCCCCTGTTATTATCTAATTATCACTGTTCCCTCTATTTCTCTTTGTATTAAATTGAGCTCCTATACTTTATTAATTTGCCTTATCCCTTCAGTTCCTAAAAGGAACTGTGTCTTCTCTGGCAAGTATCTTCTCTGTATTATTCAAAAGGTTTCCCCAGGGTTTGAGATCAATGAATGCTCACTTTTTTGTTCCGTCACTTCTTTCTCTTTCTATGTATATATGTAGGTATGTATATATGTTTACATTTATACGAAAAACTGAGACCATAAACAGCAAGGTATTTTGAAAGTCTAAGTACTAAAGCTAAAATACAATGAAAATGATTTGAACAATTATATCCTCTTACTAAATCAGATCTTATATTCTAATTCTTTTCTCATAAGAAATCTAAATAATTCTTACAGCTTTATTTAGATTATAATCAAGGCAGCTGACCTAATGGCAGGATGATTTCACTAAGGATGAAACTTGGTGCCAAGTAAATGTTCTAGGAAATTTCACCATACAAAATGTCATTACATAATTATCTGATTATACTAATAAAGATTTTCATAATAAAGTAAATTTGGTAGCAAGAACATCCAATATCGTGAATGGCTTTGATTAGTAATAACTTTAATTCTACACTTAAATGGACTTAAAGATACACAGTAAAATAATGGTCAGATTAAATCTTGCCATTGCAACAACATGGATCAAACTAGAGGGAACTGTTCTTAGAGAAAATAGTCAGGAGGAAAACAAATATTGGATATGTGTTATATAAAGAAACAAAACAGGGCCCTCTCTGGTGGCACAATAGGTTAAAGCACAGCAGTATGAGGCTACTGCAGCACGAGTTCAATCCCTGGCAAGGGAGCTGACACATAGGGCGTGCAGACCTCTCCTGACCTGCCCACTGCTCCCCTCAACAGTGTATTTCAGTCCGTTTGCTTGTTCTGCTCCCCACTCTGTTTCTGGTGAATCCTTTTATGCCCCTCCCTCACACTTCTGGCCTGTACCACGGTTCTGTATGAATAAATAAGTAAATCTTTTCAAAAAATTAAAAAAAAGCAAAACAAAAGAGATAAACCTGGGATATCACTATGGAATTGAGGTAACCAATGTATCAGTAAATATCAACATTAATACTACATTAACTCATATATTCATTTAATCATTAAGGCAGTTCTCATTTAGGTTAGGCGACACTCAATATCATAGTTTTATAGATCCTGTCATTAGATAGCTAAGTGAAAGTATTTGGGCAGCAAAACAAAAAGGGGTCTCTTTATATTAGAAATCTATTTAACTATTTAAATAGCAAAATACTGATAAGCTCCAAACTAACAACCAAGATCCTATAAATCAAGATCCTTTCAAATCAGGTATCCAAAAAAATAACAGTGAATGATGAATAGATTTAGTATGTAAATATCATGTCAAAGAATGAAGACTCCCTTGACATAGGATCTTGGATATAAAATCAACAATATATTTAACTCATTAAATTTAAAATAAAAAATATTTATTAAAATATCTAATCAGAAGTAAAAAGAATATTTATGCACATTATCCTGAAAAAACTAAATTTTGTAAAGTAAAAGCAATACTAGAAAAAATTATAAATGCATTGCAGAAAAAAAAACAGAATTTACTTACCCAAAGATGATTTCACAATTGATTTAATTCCTGCATAAACCAATGATCCTTTGTTGCCTGGAGATTTCTGATCCATGTCTTCTGTATACTGCTTCATAAGTATTTAAATGCATAGGAAATACTATTAATGAAGCATAATAAAATATTTTAAAGATAAATGTTTTGATTTAGAGCCAATTCATAGTTAGCATCAGTGTGAAATAAAAACACTGGTTATTATTCTATTGTAGAAATATACTTTCCTTTCTTCTACATAACCAACAGTTTTAAACAATTTTACTTCGTGATTTCCATAAAGTATAACTTGCCTTTTCATCTAAGACATTCGGCATATTTACAGACTGACCAAAAGCAAACTCTAAGATCACTTCTACCTATTTCACAAAAAAAAATCACAAAGCAAAGGATATAGTGCAGAGTATACCAGAGACTCTTGAGCTGTGGGTCTTCATTTCCAGCTAAAATATGGTTTCTCCACACCTGTTCTGTATCAAGTCCGTATCTTGATAAAGCCCTAAGGCGCATCTTTGTTGCTATATCTTTTTCTAAAGAATTATCATTTTCTTCTTCCGCACATTCATACAAATGTCGACCACAAGCCCACATTAAAGATGTAATTGGACTCCAAGCTAGAGATATCCTTTCAAACACAGTGAAGTCAGACATTGTTCGGTTGGGAGTTACAACTATCATCCGATTTTGACTTGTTGGATGCCAGGCAAAGGAAGCAATGTAATTGTCACAAGGTTGCACACTTCTTTCAATTATTGTGGGTTCAGTTTCATCCCCAATGGGAGTAGGTGTGTGCTGCATATCATATAATCTAATAATATTGCTATCCCTTGTTAAAGTAGCAAGCAAACCAGTCCTAGTTGGACACCAGGCTACTTTTGTCAAGGGCTTCGGCTGCTCAGTCAAAGTCAAAACTGGCTTCTCAAATTTTCTAAGATCCCATATTGCAACCTGCCCTTCATAGAAGGAAGCAACACGATCATGGAAATATGGGTCAACTGTCACCCCCTGAACAGCTTTTGTATTCACAAACATCTTTTGGCTTGTATTCCGAAGATCGAATATGGCTAGATTACGATGCATACCCGCAAGGAGAAGTTTCTGGTCACGTGGTAGCCAACAGAGAGAGAGACATGCATCATTCTGCCCTAATTCATAAAGTGGCTTAGTCACGAGTAATGTTGTTTCAGTTTCACCTGCTGACAGTCTCACTTTCTCCATGGGAACTATATCAGGAGTATATTTGCTGCAAATATCCCAAATGAGCACTGAAAAATCAGCTCTATGTTTATCCAGACCAGCAGCCAGCCAGTTACTATCCAATGGATTCCATGCAAGAGTATTGCATTGTCGTGCATGTTTTGGAACAAATTCTTTTCCTATCAAATCTCTGAACTTTGAATTATGATCTTGACCAAGACTTGTAAGTACAACTCGACCATTTGCTTGTCCAACTGCTAGGAGACATTCAGGGTCATAGTTGAGATACCATGCGACACATTTCATATAGGGTGTATCTGAATTTATGGATAGTAATGTAGCTGCAGAGTCTTCAGATAAACGTAAAGATCCAGCTTTAAGTTCTGAATTCACAGTAGATTCCACATGATAAAGGCTCAGTTCTGAGTCACAGACAACAAATCTATCAACCTGGTGTGGCGCCCACAGTATATCAGGTTTGGTACCGCTCATGTTTACTGATGTGCTGAAAGCATCCAATTAGGTCCATTCACTGACGATCTGCTTAAAAATAAAAAGGTTTAAAATGTCAACAAATATGATTCTAAACTGAATAAACTATTCAGAAAGTTAGAAAATTCTGAGTACACTATTTTTGAATACACTTAGATATGTTCTAACTGCTGTGAATTCAACAATATATTTTTCCTTTTTATTATTGTCTTATTATCATTGTAGCCTCCACATAGTTCTCCTGCCACACATCACCTGTGAACCATCACAATATTCTTATGTCACTCCTTTTTCACTCCCTTCTCTCCCCATCCTGTGCTGTGTGCCTATGGTCAACCAAACCTTTTGTTTGGTTTCTCTATGTTTCACATATAAGTGAGACCATCCAGTATTTATCTTTTTCCTTCTGACTTATTTTGGCTAGCATAATCCCCCTCCAGTGCCATCCATGTTGCGGCACATGGCATGAATTTGTCTTTTCTGATTGCTAAGTAATAGTCCATTCAACAAAACTCATTGATAGATGAGCTGGTAGAAATCTAAGGACTCAATTCACTTTACTTCCCATAATAAATTAGCTTAATTACACTGTTACTATAACTTTAACTCCACAGCTAAAATATAAAGTAATTCCAGTGTAGTGAGCAGATCAATAACTATCATCTCTTTGAAGGGGAGAAGACATTACAGGATTGTGAAATCATATTACTAAGCAATGCTTAGAGAAGTACTATCTAACAAAACTTTTTGCAATAGAAATATTCTCTATCTGTACTGTTCAGCATAATAGCTACCAGTCATATGTTGAATAACATGCACTAAAAATGTGAATAGTGCAAAATCTTTTAATTTTAATATAATGTCACATATGGCTACCATAATGGACATTGTAGATTTCAGTTACAATGCCTGTAGTAAGACAGAGGGTCTCTTCCTCAACTTTCAACACGAGGGAAGCCCTATAAGGCAGACTAAACACTGGAATGTATTCAGCAGAGTTTAACTCTATTCCTAGCTCTGACATCTACTAGCTATATCTTGAAACTGCCTCCGTGTTTGTACCTCTTTTGTTTTATCATGTATGTAACCTAAGAGTTGGTTTCAATAATTGTTCCTAACTTCAGTCATTCTGATACAAACTGGTTCAGCAATTTTTTATTTATCTTTCCATGCTGGCCCTTATACAATATTAAATACACTGCTTTTCAATATTTTTGTGTAAATTGACTCAATTTTAGAACTTGAAAATCTACTCATTAGCCTAATCATCATAAAGTCCATGAATCATAGGTACAAAATGCTAATTATACAACACTGTTAAAAAGATAAATAAAAATGTTTGTGTTTTACCTATATTTTTTCTAACAACTGTTAAATGTGTAAACATGCTTGATTGTACTTTACCTAAAATCATCCTTTTTGTAATCAGTGGTACACACATCCCATGTTGGAAACAATAAAATGACCTTCAGAGGTTCTTTGTTTCCAATTCTATAAACTCTGAATAAGCTGATATAGGATATTTGAAAAGATAAATATTAGCAGTTAAGCACAAAATTTATTTTAGAAGTGGTGTTTCAACAATAAAAGCTACCTACAAAAATTAAAATGTCTATTTCTAACCAAGTGTGGCTAGAAGCTAGAAATTAGTCTGGATTCAAAATGAACAAAAATGCTTATAATCCTCATAGCAACTGATATATATGCAACCATGTTGCTGGTTCTTCGAAGGTAAAGTTATGATTCATTCATCACCCCTTCCCTTGTACCAATTATAGAATTTTGCACAGACTCCTAATACTGACTAAATTCAACTCAAACATATTTCCTGTATTTTTTGATCTTATAGTTTCAGTCACCAATTATCAGTATAGGATTTATAAGCTTTTAAAATTTAGATGGCAGGGAAAACCCCCAAGAATCCTTACACTAACTTAACTGCTTTCCTTAACAGTTCTAAAGCCCAAGATCAATTATTTCAATGATATTCTTACTATCACCCTCAATTTCTTCATTTCCCTGCCAGTGTGGGTTTCCCTTTTCCCATAGGTGAACCTAATTATTTATCATTTTCTTTCCTCTATTCAGGTGCCCAAGCCTCAAAGCTCTGCAGAATAAGTAAGCACTGGTTCAGCAATTATTTCATTTGTCTTTCCATTTTGGCCCTTATGAAACTCATCTTTGTATTTCAGTTATTTTTAAAAAATATAAACTAGATTATATATTTATATAATATATATATAACTAGATTAGACAACTCTGCTGAAATTCTAATACTTTACAATGGCTCTTAGTATAGTTTCAAATTCTCAATATAACCTATAAATTTCTAAAATGCTTTGGCCTGACTACTGCTCCTGTCTCAAGGAACACTATCTCCTTGCTAAGATTATTCTAGCTACACTGTTATTCTTTTTTATTGTTATCTGTCACTAGCCCCAACATGACATATTTGCAAAAGCTGTTCCCACTGGACATCAACCATCATCATCCCCTACTCAAACTAACTCAGGTTACTTAGATATATGCGCTCAAACATTCCTATGTATCACCCCCCTTTAACCTACCAAATGAAAAGTTCCATAAGAAAAAGTAAACAACTATCTTTTGTTCTCTGTTGGATATCTAGTCCCCAACACAATGCTAGGCACTTAGTAAATACTAAGTGTTTGTCTAATGCTTCATTTAATGTTTTCACACTTCTATCTCCAAGTTCTGCAACCCTCATGTTTCCATCTTCTACCCTCCTTAGCTGAGGCTGGTGCCAGTCCACAGCAAAGACTAAAAGCACAAAATAACACCCTAAAAGAGAATTACTCTAATACAAGGTGCTTCATTCATTCAGTAAATACATAGTAGGCATCTTGTGTTCAAATACTATCCTAAATGCTGGAAACACAGTAAGAAAGATAGTTAATGCTACAGATGCTATGGACTGTGATCCCTGTTTCCCTTAATCAAAGTTCGAAATGCTAATCCTTCAGATATTAAAGATAACACATTAAAAAAAAAAAAAGGAAGGAAGTGATTGTGGTTAAATGAGATTATAAAGCCCTAAACTGGTACCCTTATAAGGAGAACACATATAAGGCTCTCCCTACCGTGTGAGGATACAGTCAGAAGGTAAAGTTGCCTGCAAGCTAGGAAGAGAGTCCTCACCAGAACCAGACAATGTGTGCATTCTAATCTCAGACTTCCAGCCTCCAGAATAGTGAGAAGTTTCTGCTGTTTCAACCACCTAATCTATATTTTGTATTGGCAACCCAAGCTGACTAATAATCAGCTTTATTGTTCTAATTAACTTACATTCTAGTGAAGTTATGTACAAAGAGAATTTTAAACCTTAAGAATGAGAAGATGCACCTCATAAAGGAAGCTGAGATAACAAAGAAAAGGAAAAGACACTTTCAAGTAAGGATCCATACTCATGACCTCAGAGAGAAACTTCATTAGTGTTATCCTGAGATCTTGGCCCATCTTCCCAGCTCACAAAAAGACATGCTGGCCACTCTCCTGCATACCTGTAACTATGCAGATCCTGCTCTCTCTTTTCTCCAAAAAACCTGTTCTTCTATTATGTAAAAAAATAAATAAAAGACTAATGCTTAAAAAGCATACTTTTTAATCTAGGCTTCCATCCTATAACTAGACTTTTTACACCAATGATCTAAGATAACAAAACTTGGTGCCATATAGAAATATCCATCTTATAAGCCAGAGTGTTACTTTTATTTAAAAAAAAAAAAAAAGTTTACAAGGCTGTCAATGTTATACATTTAAAATACTACCTTCCATAAAATCTAAGTGACTCACAGATTATGAATTTGAGCATCAGAAGTCAGAAGCAAAAAAAAAAAAACCCCTGTCACGTCAAGCTGGAGTAAAAGATGAGATGTTTAGGTGCTCGCTCAACATCTTCCAAGTCCCATCCCAGATTACTGCACAAAGGATAATCCACATAATTTGCAGTACTCAGTGCAAAATGAAAAACAAAGAGAACTTTGTTTAAAAATTAAGAATTTCAAGACAGGCCCTCCCTGGTGGCGCAGCGGGTTAAAGCACAGCACTGAGAATCTAAAGCCGCTTCCGCAGGAGTTCGATTCCCGCCTGCCCTGGAGGTGACCACATGGCGTGGCAGACCTCTCCTGACCCGCCCGCTGCTCCCCTCAGCAGTGTACTTCGTTGATCTGCCTGTTCTGTTCCCCACTCTGTCTCTGGTGAAGCCTCTCTCCGCCCCTAAGCTTCTGGCTTGTACCCCAGTTCTGTATGTACAAATAAATAAATCTTAAAAAAAAAAAAGAATTTCAAGACAATGATAGAAGAGCATGAAATTAAGTGCCATTCTAAATGCAAGATTCTTTAAAATGGCACACACAGGTTTCACACCATAAAGTTGTTACTGTACAGAGATACAACTATAATCGCCCTCTTAAGAAATGTCTTGTTCACTGTCCAACCCACAATATAGAAGGATGCTAGCTGAGTACCGATCACTAGGAATATTGTAGAGAGTTAAAAAAAAAAAAAAAAGGGAACCTGGTGTCAGAAAAATTTTCACAACTTGCTAGCTGAACCTTAACAATATATTCATATTTCCAGATGGAGATAGGATCTTTTCCCTCACAAAGTTTTGACAATCAAATGAGTTCTTCCTATCACACAGATAGTAACAACACTACATTCCTTTAAACAGCCTTGAAGGTTAATATTTTCAAATGGTGAAGACAACGACAAAGAAAATGTAGAATTTTCAGTAATTACAATTTATATTTAGATCCTCACCTTCAGGTTTAACAAATGTTCACTTCCCATTAATGGTTTCTGAGCAAAGGAAAGCCATGTCGATTCTGTGATCCTTACCAGAACACCTATAAGGGCATCATCCAACAGAATTGTAGTGTGAGCCATGTTATTAAAAAATTTTAGTAGACACGTTATAAAAGGAAAAACAGACGAAATCGAATTAACATTAAATATACTTAACCTAACATGTAAAAAAAACAAACTTTCAACATGTAACCAATGTAAAATTTTCATTTTAGTTTTGGGGGGAGTTAACAAGTCTTCGAAATTCAATGTGTATTTTAGATTGATAGTAGCACATTTCACCCCTGCTCATGGACAGTGAAGAGCAATAGCACTAAATATACAAGGTCTCCAATC